AAAAACTATACATTTTTCCAACAGATGACATTATTTTCTTGCTAGTCCTGCAGTTAATCCATGGCACCTAAGAGGCTTTACAGCCGTGGTGTTAACCAACCAAGACGTGGCTATAACTCTGTTTTAGCTGCAGTACTTTTTTTGTAGGAGAGGACAAAGCCAGCACAGCTAAAACCTGTCCAGCTTCTATCGGCTGGACATTTGACATTGGCTGACACTCTTTGGATTGTCCATTTTAATTTCTTATCCTTCTTTCAGTCAGTAAGCACAAAATCTCACTTTCAGGCCTTAAATAAGACGTGAAACTGCAATAAAAAATGTGCTGAGGTGAGGCCTCAGTGCAATTATTGGACAGTAATGCGTGTCAAATTATTTTTAAAAACTTTCAAACCCCACCCCTAAACTACCTGACAAAGTTACAAAATGAAAATTACATAATTTCAATCATCTCCATCACAATGTTTTTCAGTGGAAAATGCAACTGGAAGAGCTTTGAAGGATGGAAGAGAATAGAAAGAAAAGTTCAGAAATTGCTAATCCTTCACACACCTTTTTAAACCAGGTTTTTGATATAATAGCTAAACAGATCTTTAATAAGAAAATTAACTGTACTTTATAAACATACTCGTTTTCTCTGACGGCTTATTTCCACTTTCATTGATGCACACTTGTTCAATGTGTTCAACCGTCTAGGGTATAAGAAAAAGAAGTTTTAAATTCAAATTATTTCATTTCTTGAAAGCAAACGTTCACCAAACTAGTTGTGAACTTCTACCATTGAGTCTTCATTATCAATGTCAAAGACTGACATGCTGTTAGAGGTTCTCCATACATGTTGCCAAAACCAGCACCAACTAATGTTCTTAGCTCCAGTTCTGCCATCTTAAAATTAGAGAAGAGGACCGTATTTAATCAGTTAATTAAAAAGCATATAATGACCTTTAATGATTGTGGAAAACTGTATATTGATTTAAGATTTTGAAAATGAAAGAAACTCTGAGAGACTTCTCAGAAAATTTTTTAAAAATGAAGACGTTCACCTATATCTTTGGAAGGACTTTATTATCTATCGTTTTAATTAAAACTTGTGGAATCGATAAGGCCTCAAACCACTCAGTCACTTAACTGCCAAACAAATACGTGGCATCAACAGGGAGGCACACTGGCAGCCTTCAAGGAACACTCAGGGCAAGTGTCCTATCAAGAAACAAGATACATCCAAAGTTCTCTAATATCCGCTGTGCATTCGAGGTGTGTATGTGAACAGCTCCTGTTGGTGCTCCTGTCACAAGCAGAATTTAATTTCAGGCAACCTAACAGTACTGAAATGGATCAAACCACTTTGCCAGAAGAGTAATTTTCCAGTTCCTTCAGAGATAGACAGAAATTCTGAGCGCGTCCCTTGGATGGGCCAGGCGGTGCGGCACGGGTGGTATGGAGTTCCCTTCATCTGCTAAACAACACTTTCATAATGAGGAGGCTTCAATAACTGCAGTAAGTAATAAAGTAGAACGTCTCTACGCTATCCTGGTACTCTTACATGGGGAAAGACTAGAAAGCAATGAGTTTGGCTTTGCACTGATGATGCAATTTCACTTGTGTGCTGTGAACAGCTGTGGCAAAACAACAATTTCACATTAATACCTTAGCTTCTCGCTTAAAAAAAAAATATTCAGGGAAAGAAAACAGAAAGCCTGTCTCTTGTGCAGATCATTTTTGCTGTTTATGTCCCCGAACAGCACTGGGAAAGCTCACCACTCAGAGGAAATTCCTGCACTCTGTCATACACTATTGTAAAGAGCAAACTGTCACTCTACCTTATGCTTGCAGGGAACTGATTTTTCTTTCTCAGCCCACAGACATTGCACATTACAGAAAAGGCAGATTCGATGCTTAGCGTAACCTCACTGAGACCTTGGCTGAAGAAGACGTGCAGATACATGCTTACTTTACCTTTAAATTCCTAAAACCACCAACTTCAGTGGCACTAAAGTATGAGCTTCATTGTGTTCCCTCAGACACAGCACTGGTGACTTTGTTAGTCTCCAACGAAAACTAAGGCATGAAAAGATGAATGACAACTATGCAGTCTGGAGGTATTAAAGATGATTCATAATTAGTGTTTACCTGAATAGTGATTCAATCGCATCTCCATCTAAAAATTCATGATCTTTCCTCACAGTTTTTACATCAATAGGAAACTGCATATCTGTAAACAAAGAAGTTGAAGCTGAAATCTGAGTTACAATGGCAAAGACTTTGAATTTTGCAACATGTTTATCACAGCTGAAATAAATCTAAATCTATTTCTATAGCTATATATTCACACAAATGTCCTTCAAGTGAGGATCAGTTCCTTAGAGCAAGTGGGAGAATAAAATGTAGGCATCTGCTTGCTATTAGCTACAGGCAGAAAAGCATTTGCTGCACTTCCAGGAGCTTGCAGTGAGCAAGTACTATAGCCAAGAAATACAAAATTGAAGTTCTGCTTTCGTTAGGTTCTCTCCATCTCCTGTCTTTAAGTACAGTATAAAACTAGGAGTGTTTTACAGGGGCTTTTGCTGATGGTAAGGTACAATGCAGCACGTAACACATGCTCTTGGAGCTGTCGTGAGCCCGACAAATCAGGCTGTGCTTGAAGGCAATCCATACACCAGCTGAGGAGTTCAATGATCCAGTTTCTGAGACTTAGCCTTGCAGATGAGGGACCCAGTGACATCCATCAGTATTTTCCTGGCTTACTTTTCAAACTTAATTTACCTAGTCAAGTCAGGACACTGCATAAACAGCAAGGTGACAGGGGCTTCGTCACCCAGAAGCATGACAATGTACATTTCCAACAAACTGTAGGATTGGCAGCTTATGTAACAAAATCTGCTGTAGTCCAATGGGAAGCATTTCCATGAGACATCATGTTTCATAGTATACAGCTTTCAAATTTGGCTCTGTTGCTTGATTCCGATTTTTAATTTTGCAATGAACAGGGGAGGTGGGAATGAGAGCAGGCAGAAGTTACTGTTCATTCTTTTAACTGTAGTTCTTTTTGATAAAATATCTCTTAAAAATAGATCAGCTTTTGTTACCTTCAATGTTTGTAACAATAAACATAATTTAAAGAACAGTTTTAAGGTATAAGCACAAATGTCTGAAAATTATACAAGTTCTCAACAAATCCCTATCTCCCCCGCAAGTAATAAGCAAAAGTAATTAGCTTTAATGACATGAAAACATGCTGAAATTGCATTGTTTGACTGTGGCTGGCTGCTTCTGAATATCTGTTTTAAAAACTTATGATTGCAAGATAATTTTTCCAACATTCTTTTTCAATAGAAAGCAATCTTGCTCGAGATCACAGGCTGGGGAGCCTTAGATGAGTTTTGGTTGCAATCAGTGAGTCCGGAAAAAAACCCCAGCACTCCAAGGAAAAGAGCATGACAAATTTATAAGCAACTAAAAGTCACAGAAGCAGAAATATGACTGAGTTACAGTCTAACAATAACCAGGAAAGGTTTGGTCCTTTACAGAATTCTACTGAGTCCACGCTAACCTAATTAAGATGTCACTTCTGCAAGAACACACACTAAGTTGCCATTTTCCTACAAGTTTGCATGAAGACATTACAGACTTTGGAAATTCTTCCATCAGAAGTGTCAGGTTCCAAACGATTATTTATTTAGACAATTCTTGAATTCAGCGTCAGCTGCTCGACAAGTCTGTGGGATCATACCTTCAAACAGCTGAGCATACTGGGGAAAACCAGCAGCTTTCAGCCAGTCACAGGCTTCTCTGGCTTCAATTTCTGCAACGAGAACATAAAATTGTTCACTTACAGTGCTCACGAGTTAGTGCTTTCACAGCACAAGCAAGCTGAATTTATCTGGTGGATTCTCAGAGGATCTTGTACATCAATGTTTTGTTAGTATATCACCAAAGACAGAGAAATTCCCATATCTGATGCACTTACCTGTACATAGCTCTGGAGCAGTCATTCCAACATAGGATAGACAGCAGACATACAAGAGTCTAGATACAAGCATATACTTGAGTTGTAATACATTGGTGTGTGTCAACTACCCCCGAGATTCGGACAGTGAAGCATCTGTTATATGTCAAAATGAGTCACCAGAGAAGGGCGTATGATACACATGTCTATGCCCTCACTCAGCAAAGCCCCATTCATGCATTCCAGTTCTGAGAGATGGTGATAAGACACAAACAAACCCTATAAATAAACTTAAAATGCTATCACAACGTTAATAACACTGGACACAGCCTAAGCATTCCCAGAACAAGAGTTCTCAGGAGTACCTGTTGCTAGGGTCTATCAATATTTATTTCCTTGCCAACTACCGACACAACTTGGCAGCCACTTCAGCACAGCAGATGTCAAGAATTAACTGCTCATTTTGTGACAATTCATAAAGCCCTATGGTCAATACTGTAGCATTCCCACAGGAGCAGCACATAACTTCACAGAATCACAGAACACTCACCAGATGCCTCAAAAACATAAACATGTTTAGTATGAGTACATGCCAGCAGGCTCTACACTCTGCAAACACTAGAAATTACTGGGTCTACGGAAGAGGGGAGGAGAGGATTCCCATGCTACACTTTTTGTACGTCTGCGTGTACTCCAGCACATGTTACAACAGACACCAACCAAAAGGCAAAGACTACTTTGAAAGAAATGTTTTAGAAATACCTTAAAATCAAGCATGCTTGGAAGAGAGAAATGTTCTTGAAGTACCTTAAAAGGTAGCATTCTAGGCTAGAGGAACAGCTCTGTTTTCTTAAAGCTATTTCCTTTACTCGTACACTCGAAGATTAGGATTCCAAGGCACTTCACATACATACCTACTCAAATTCACTGCTTGCTTTGCTCTAACTTCTCAGCTGTAAGTCACCAGTGCAACAGACTGAAGAAACTCATCAAAAAACTTACAGAACTTCAATTATTTTAAGATTCTACTTCTAAACTTTAAATTATTTCCATTATCATTTGATTCATTTGGACAATGCCATCTGTAACAAAGGCTTTCCTGCACAAAACTCTATGGCTTTTTCATCTGAGAATAAAGTGATACCACAGGATGATAAGGGTATTTCTACATAAAACAGATGCATGACTCCTTTTATTTTCCAAACTGCAGAACAGAAACTAATTTCTTCCACAATAGACTATATACACTACGCCTGCATTTATTACTATACTCAGTGCCATAATTTATCATAATCTTTATCATAACACAGCATTTACTGAATACCAAGACAGAAGACTGATAAAACACGAGCATTGTACTCACAGAGCAAAACAGGGGAAAAAGATCTGTGGAAAAGAGCCAGGAGGATGACCAGTCTAACACTAAAAGTCTCCACGCAGACAAAGTGATTTTCTCTTATATAACCCAGTAGACTCACTCGACCAGTTCAGCTCTGGAGGAGCTCTAGCTGTCCTCACCCCAGAGCCCACTTCAGAGGAGTCAACGTGAGGCTGTGCTCAGCTGCCCTCAGCTCACACGGGGCACTGACTGTGTAGGGGGTGACACTTCCCCCGTCCCCAACACGTTACAAGTACAGCTCTGTTTTTAGAGCAAACCCAGCGATGAACAGCGATGCAAATAAGAACAGGCTAGAAAATATTTTGCAGCTAGTGATGACGTTTTCAATTAATATGACTGAAAACACAATGGCATCCTCCTCTTCCACAGGACAAGGACACAGGAGCTGGGGGAATTTTCTTTGCTAATGTAAATCTTCAGGCCTTTTAACATACCTGTGCCCAGTCCCATGTCGCAATGCCACGGCTGTGTTAGGAGACAACACATGAAGAACTAATAAGTTCCCAGCCTGCATGACAATTACTTGCCATTAGATCTGCTGCAACTATTTCACTGCTATAGTAACTATCAAAAAGGTCCTACGGATACCTATGTATTTCAGGGATGTCTATGCTGCCTCCTCCTAATCCTACAGGAAACTGAAATTGTAAAGGGATAATGGATGCCTAGGAATTTTACTCTGATGAAAAGAAATTCCCAGACGAGCCTATGTTACTATGATCAATATGAGAGGAAGAAATGAAAAGAAAATAAGAAATAATTGCTCCAAAGGAAATAACTGCTCTCCATAGGGCTGCACTCAGTACTGACGTGCAAGCCTGGCTGACCCCTCCTCTCCTTCACCCGCTTGGGCTTCTCAACCAAAAAGCTGCATTCCCCGACCTGTTTGCAGACTGGAGAGCAAAACCAGGCTCAGCACATGCTTAGAAACCAGATATTACAACATATATTAAATCCCCATCAGAATGAACATCAACGTTAACAGGAATGCTCGCGATACTGAAGAGACATCTGTGCTGAGATTTTGGCCTTCTCTCCGAGATGTTTTCCTCACTAGAAGAAGCACTTTCCTAAAAACAAGAGAGAGGCAGCAACCGAAACCAACAAGAAGCTGTATATGACACAGGCTGGTCAGTCTGACTATAAGATGATCGCAAACATCGACCAAAGAAGAGTGTCAAATTGTACTTCAAATTCTTAAAAATACTTCCTTTAAAGAAAATAGGAGGATCCGAATTTCTGTTTGGAAGCAAAAGTACAACAAACCTTATTCTCAGGATGCAGCACAACTTTTCAGGTGCACAGATCTGCTGCCAAAGCAGGAGTCCTGTTTCTTTCCTTCCCCTCACTCCATGTCCCTACCCCTCCCCATCGATGCCACCCAGGCTGTGCCAGCAGGACCAGCCAGCAAACTGGCAGGAAACTAGTCACCTTTTTCGGCATGATCAGGTTCGTGGTGCTTTCACTTTCTGAGTTGGATACCACATGTTCTGATGAGCACCAGAGGCAGACAAGGGCAGCGGTGGGCACACGCAGGGACCGGCTCAGGGACAGGAAACAGCCCGCCGGTGGCCGGCAGCCCTTAGGGCAGCTTGGCGTAATACGGAACCTCAGCCTACACGTATCACCCTTCATAGAGATCTCATTGTAGCTCTCCTATTTTCAAAGTACTTTTTTTAGGATATTTTTAAAATCCATGGTAGATGCATGACTTTCACTTCTATCTTCACACAACATAGTTTTCCAGTTTTGCCAGGTAAGAATCACAATGTGATCAGATCTTAATTTATCAGAGAGATTTGTGCTGAAGTCTGAACATCGTCCAAAACCATGCCACTGGGCAAACAGTTCGGGAGGTTTCTTGCTGTTTGCAGCACCTCTACATTAGTTACTCCAGGACCCTCCTGTCCACTTTTCTGTAGGATGCAAGTGCAGTGCTTGCGAAAAGGAACAGATTCTCCCAACGCACCCAGCTGTGCAGCACTCACACAGCCTCTCCTCCCCATGCCATGCAAGTACAGATAGCAGACACCCAGAGCCCCGGCCTCAAAACCTGCCTGATGTGGCACAGCACAGCCAGCTGTTCAGCACACCAAGATGCTGCCATCTCCTCCCATCACCAACGATACCCAACTACTGTCTCCCTCAGCCTCCTCCAGCACTGGAGTCAATAAGCACTGGGCAGACTCGGCACCCACCTGTCAGACCCTGCAATGCATTTTTCCTGCAGCCCTCGAGCCATCGGCTGTGAGCTGGTGGGTCCTTTACACAGTGACTTAGATCCTGGCGTTACTGGTTGTGCTGGCAGTGGTGGAAGCAACAAGGCTTTTTCAAGGTGCATTTGAAGATAAAATTATGAGTTTCCCATTGGATCTTTCTGGGGCTACACAAATTCCCTATGACTTACAGCTGCTAAGAAGGTGTTTCGTTTGGTACAGACATGCATTTGCAGCGCTAGAACTATGATTTCCTGAGGATGTTCACAACTGCATTGTACCTCCAACAGGATTTTCAAGAACTGTTTTTTCTTAAGTTATCTCCTTTTACTTAAAGAGAGAGCCTGAACATGCTGTCTACTCAATGTTGAAGGCTCAAATGCTCTGCTTTCAAAGCAGGGTGTTTGGATTGACCAGGGTAAGCAGTCAGGGACTTGTAAAACTGTCAAATGCTCTAAAAGTTGAGATACAGATCATAAATAAGGGGAAATGTTTATTCTGTTGTCCCTTGTGCAATGCAAAATCGCAAAGTCTAATTGTACTTTATTAACCCACTTGAGGAAGCGGGGAAAAATAAAGGATTGTTGCTTGGAATTTTGCCAGGATAATTTAGGCTCCATGCAGATAGTGAATATAAATGTCTGGGAAATGAAAAGGCCCAGATATTTGTCCTTTCATTCCTAAAAGGTGTTTTGGAACCGCAGCCAACTCTTCAGCTCTCACAGCTGGGAACTGCAACGTATCCCAGCACTTTGTGGCAACCTTAATTGCATCTTTATCGAGCTCCCTGGCATTAGCTTCCCGAGCTGATTACTAGGACTCCGAAGCTGATGTCAGGATCTACACTCGCGTCCTTGTCATCAGCCTCCCATGTCAGTTACTGGGACTTAGACAAGTTTAAAGGAATCTTCCTTGCAGAACTCATGAACTAGTTTGTCAGCACTGGCTGATCTCTTAATTGCTGCGACGTAAGTTAGAGAAGGTAGTGTTTGCTTTATGAGAATTGCAAAGGGCTCGAGAGAAGTAGGTATCCAACTCCCATCAACTTTGGGAGAAATGAGAGTGTAACTCTCTAATTTCCAAATCCACACTTGAAAATTCTTATCCCAGTAAAAGGGGCAAGGGACAGGGGATTCAGCTCCCTGCAGTCTAATTCCAGATATGTTGCTTCTCCGTGCTTCTGTCCTGCTGGCTGTAAAACAGCAACAGATAAAACATTTCTCTGACACAGAAGCTCCTTATGGCTGTTTTTTAACAGAGCCTTTGTATGTGATTGAGAAACGTTTGATGTAAAATTCCTAAGAGCAACTGTAACAGGAAGGGCAACTGCTTGCTTCCAACAGAGCAAATACCAATAAACCTACAGCACAGAAGTAACAAAACCCAAAACAAGCGTAATGTCCACACTCTGTCA